GCAGCACATTCCAGAAAAGGTAAATTGAAAACTGGAAATGGATTTCCAGGAAAAAAAAAAAAAAAGAAAAGAAAAGAGCCCCAGAACTACCACCACAAAGAAGATGGATGAGGAACATTTTGGGTCTGTTATTATCCAAAAAGTAACGATCTGCCTGGTCTGTAGTTGAACAAAGAAATATTAGAGGGGAAAAAATAGTTCCCATTTAGCTTTATCTCTGGCTATACTGGAAACAAATCACGACATAAAAAAGGGATAAAATGAAATGAAAAAGATAGCGTTTATTTCCTTTTGCTGTAGCACACTCTGGACAGTTATTGGGAAGATTAAAAGTCTTCTGAAGGGAAGCAGATTGTACTAAAGCACTGGTGAAGGATGGTGGAGAGTCAGGGAGAGGGTCCCTGTGGTCCTTGGGCCAAAAGTTATGGGTGAAGAGTGAAGGGAAAGGGTCTGGGTGGATCCTTCTCCCACCAGAGCTCACACTTTTCTTTGGGGTGCCAAAGGTGCCCTGTCCATGTCCCCCAGAGGGATCTCAGGGAATTTTTAAAGCTGGGATGAAAATCTTGGGGATATTCTCCTTAAAAAAATCTGGTTTTCCCCCTGGAATTTCTAGGAAGAATTATCCTTCTGCCCAGCATGGCTCTCCAGCACAGTCATGGAATCATTGGGGTTGGAAAAGCCCTCCCAGCCCATGGATCCCCCCTGTGCCCCATCCCCAGAGCACTGAGTGCCACCTCCAGCCCTTCCTTGGACACCTCCAGGGCTGGGCACTCCAAACCTCCCTGGGCAGCCCCTGCCAAGGCCTGACCACCCTTTCCAGGCAGAAATTCCTCCTGATGTCGAGCCCTTCCTGTCGATCCCTTTGGATGCCTTGGCTTCCACTCCCCCCACCCCCCCAGGAAATGCAGGAAAATGCCAAGAAGGGTTAAAAAAAAGCAGCAGAGTGGAGATGAATTTGGAAATGTGTGTTGCAGAGATGACTGAGCCAAGTAGTTTAGGTCAATGATTTTGTTATTTTGCTTGGTTTGTGCGGCGTCGTTTCATGGGATTTATGAATTATTGCAGCTGGAGGAGCTGCAGGGGGGGAGCTGGGAGGGCCTGCTCTGGCAGGGCTTGCTTGCTTTCCTTTCCCCTTTATTAGGAATGAAAATTAGTTGGGAATGAGGAGATATAATGCACAGCCCTCCTACCATAAAAGTTGCACTCCTCGATAAGATTTCAAGGTTGGAACAATGATAAGCGCAGAAATCTCTCTCGTAAACTCCCCTGGATAATTCAGGCAATAAAAAACGCTCCTTTTAGCTCTGTAAACAGGGTAATAGACTGGAGAGCAGGAGCTGGGATGGATTAAACAGGGGGGTTATTTTATATTCCGACAATACAAACAGAGAAAATGGAGCTGAGGATTAATTTGAATTGGAAACGGGGCCGGGTTTGGTTTGAGTTTGGCCTCAAATTCCTGGAGCAGGTGAAGCAGCTGCTGGGATGAACAGGAAGAGAAGCATCTCTGCTCTTTTTCTCTCCCTTTTTCTTTTCCTCCTGACAATCAGGAGGCTCTGGGGGCTCGGGAGAGGCTGATGGGACCGGGCTGAGCTCGTCGTGGTGGTGGGAGCGTGGCCAGGGAAGCGTCGAGTCACATCTAATGACTCCAGAGCCACTAATTAATTCCGAATGAACTGGAACAGGGCTTGACGAGCACTGGGGTTTGGAAGCTCCTGGTTTGGAAGGCTTGCAGAGGAGTGATCACTGGCAAGGGGAGGAGGAAGGTTGGGAGCAGCCTGTTGGAAAGAGCAGAAAGAAACAGGGGTGAAAATCAAGGTTGGTGAATGGGATGAAGCTCCTGGTGCAGAGCAGTGGCTCTGGGAGCTCTGTGGCAGCTCGGGGGGTTGGATGATGGGAACTTCTCGAGTCTGTGGTTTCTGTTTCTAGTTTGTTGTGTTCATTTTAAACACACTGAAACCTGTGAGTCACCTGTTGGATGGGGCTCCTCCAGGGAAAGGCATAAAAGCTGCGTGGGGAGATCTCGGGTGGTGCTGCCAGGGTAAAGTCAGAGAGTCACAGAAGGGTTTGGGTTGGGAAGGGCCCTCAAAGCTCCTCTATTCCAGCCCCAGTGGGCAGGGACACCTTCCACCAGGACAGAGGGTGAGAGGGGAGTGGTTGGAGCATCTGCAGGTTCCAAAGGATGGGATTAAAGGGGCTCGAACTGAAAGGCAGGAGAAAACAACAAAAGCAGGGAGTTTGGAGCAGAAGAGGGTTCAGCTGAGAGAGGTTGGGCTGAACAACAAAAGCAGAGAGTTTGGAGCTCAGAAGAGAGCTCAGCTGGGCAGAGGTCGGGCTGGTGCCCTCCAGGTTTCTTTCTGACAAATAAATGGATTTGAAGGATCAACTGAAAGCTGCAGGAAGTGGGAGAGTTGCAGGTTTTGCTGGGTTTGTTCCTGAGTGTTTTCCGTGTCCTGACACTTGATGCTTCTTGCTGAAAAGATGCCCTTTCTGCATCACAACCTCCTGCCTCACATTGTGCCAGTCGTTCTCACCTCACCTCCTCCCCAGAGGTTCTGCTCTGGCTCTGGTCGTGCCTGTGCTGCCAATTAACATCAGGATTGTGGTTCCTCTCTGTGTCACCTTGGGCAGGGGGGTCCCTGGGGGCAAATAACTCCTGGGAGAGTGACATTTGAGGGATGGTGAGGAGCCCTCCAGGTGCAACTGCAATAGAATAATCCTATTTCCTTTCCTCTGTCATAAAATAAGATAAGGCTTTGGCAGCTGCTCAAATCGAGACAAATAAAATAAACTGCTCTAAATTCATCATGGGCAGAAACAGACTTAGCTACAAAATGACTAACAGGACCTCCTATTCATCTGTACAAATCTGCTCTGTGGCTGCATTCATTTCCATACAATCACTGGAAAATATTATGTTGATTGCTGGGAACAAAGCTTTTTATGGGGAGGGGGGGGAAAAAAAATCCATGCTGCTAATCTACAGTGGAATTGGTAAATGGGTAAGACAAAGCTTTAATAATATTATTCTGTGCGACATCTGATGTAAATAATACAGTTCTATTAATCTCTGAGGCAATCAGAGAGTCTGGCTGTTAGAGGCAGCCAAGGATGAGCAATAATATTATCTCTGCTCAGGGATGTTGGAGTAGAATCACAAATCCAGGGCTGGCAAAGCAGGGGCTGCACCAGCTCAGGGAGTCACTCAGAGCTGAGCCAAGGGGACATTGGGTGTCCTGGGGACTGGGCAGGGGGTTCCAGAGGCACATTGGATGTCCTGGGGGGTTCCAGAGGCACATTGGATGTCCTGGGCACTGGGCAGGGGGTTCCAAGGGCACACTGGATGTCCTGGGGACATCCCAGGGGGTTCCAAAGGCACATTGGATGTCCTGGAGAGTGGGCAGGGGGGTCCAAAGGCACATTGGATGTCCTGGGGGGTTCCAAAGGCACATGGGATATCCTGGAGGCTGGGCAGGGGGTTCCAAAGGCACACTGGATGTCCTGGGGGGTTCCAAGGGCACATTGGATGTCCTGGGGGGTTCCAAAGGCACATTGGATGTCCTGGAGCTCCAAGGGCATCTCCAGGCCCTGCACCCTCCGAGCCCTCCTGGGGGATTTCTCAGGAAGGGACAATGGAGCTGGTGAAGGTTCTGCAGCAGAATTGTTGTTTGGAGCCACTGAGGGGGCTCAGCCTGGAGAAAAGGAGGCTCAGGGGGAACCTTGTCCCTCTTAAACTCCCTGGCAGGAGGGATCAGCCTCTTCTCCCAGGGGACAAGTGGCAGGAGATGGGCTCACGCTGTTCCAGGGGAGGCTTACATTGGATATGAGGGACAAATTCTTCACTGAAAGAGTTGTCAAGGCCTAAAAAAATGTGTGGATGTGGCAGCTGAGGACGTGTGGTGAACGTGGTGGGGATGCTGGGTTGGACTTGGGGGTCTTGGAGGTCTTTTCTTCACTGAGTCTGTGATTCTCTGGAGCACCAACTCTGTGTCCTTTGGCTCCTCTCCCTCCCTCTGCAGGGGAAGGGATATTTCAGCAGGTGATGTTTGAGGGCTGAGCAGATTCCTCCTGCACACAACTGTCTCCAGCCCCTTGGGAAGCAGTTCTGCCCCTCCAGGAGGCAGAGATTTGGAGAATTCCTTTTCTCCTGCAGATGTGCACTGGTGTGTCCTGAAAAAAAGAGCAATCCCTGCTCCTGGTTTCCCGCAGGAACCCGGAGCACTGGAGGAGTTAATGCTGCCTCCCCCCCAAAAATCTCCTGTGTGCTCCCTCCTGTAGCAGGAGATTAGTGAAAGCAGCCAAATGAAGCAGAATTTTAATATGAGATCCTGTTTTTCAAGTGTGATTTTTAAGATACCGAGCAGGTCAGGGTTGTCTGATTCTTCACAGTTCATTAAGCAGAGAGCGGCTCGTGGTGGAGATTGACTTTTAAAAATGATAGATTTTTATTTATAGCAAAGTTCTAGTCATTAATTTTAAAGGATGGAAACATAAAAGCGGGAACGGGTTCATTTAAAAAAAAAAAAGTGACATTGGTAATTTAATTAAATTGGGGTTTTGAGTATCATTACAGAAAATGAAACATTAGTTCTGTGCTGGTTTTCCACCCATCTGACGTGTTCCAGAGCATCCCAAAAACCTGCATGGTCTGGAATGTATAAATTAGCTATATATATATATTAGGTGTGTGTATATATATATTAGGTAGAAATACATATAATATATATA